TTTTTGTGTTATCGGAAAATTAGCAAACAAACACAAAAAACCAGAAAGAAAAACAAGATTTTAAGAAAATACAGCTCCTCAGAATCATTGTCACCCTACCATTTTCACAAAGATAATTATTGTGGAACTTTTTGAAGGATTTTATTGATACGAAATATATTAATTCAAGATACTTTTTCAAGAGTAATAAATTGATTGCAGAGTTTTTTCGGAAATGTCAATTTTGAGTAATAAAATTTCTGAAAGTAGAATCCTGCTATATGCAAAAAATAGAAACAAGTGAAAAGATCGTGCTTTGATGAAAAGTGTAATTTCAGTATTTCGAAATTACAAGTCATCGTAAAAATGTTGCTGGTAATTTTAAATGGACGAAGAAATCAGTCAAATTTGGTCCCAAATCCACTTTGTATAAGAAACCTACAATTTAAGGACATATTTGACAATCCCTTTTCAGATTTCCACTTAGGAAGTGCTTAAAATGTCGAATTACCGCTGTTACGAAACTTAAAAGCCTTTCATTAGCTCAACTAGGTATTCGTAATTTTAAACAATGACAATCAACGGGAGGTGTTTTAAGACTGATTTGAAAATAATCGATCTAAAAGTGTTTTCATAAACACCTCTCAGCAAAAAATTACGCATCTTTTAGCTGTTAATTTGAACCATACAAATATTTCAGACAATTTGGTTACTTTTTTTTGAAAAAATTTTCGTGACGTGAAATTTAGAGAATATAAACTTGCTGCTTTAACTTTTGCAGCAGGTTCTTACAAAAATCCTCAAGATTCACATTTTCAAAAATGATTTCCTCTCCAAAAAGACCACTTAACATCAAAAAATTATTGTTCTATTTTAAATTTTAAGTGTAATATAACAAGAGAGGCTCTCCGGAAATGAATAATCGAATTTAATAAAATCTTGCAGAACATCTTTTAAGCATCTGTCTTAAATACTTAATGAGTATTTTATAAATTTTCTGATGGGTTTAAAGTGAAACTCTTTGATGAAAATTATTTTTGGTTATGGTAGCTACATGTCCACGCTTTTTATAGACTAAAGACTAGCGAATGTTGTCTTTTTTTTCAGTATTTTTCTATTGTTTTGTTTTTCTCGGGAAGAAAAGAGAGTTTATTGATGAACAAAAAGCGATTGGTGATTGAAATGTTGTTTTTTCATTCACTATGTGGCCATTTGTGCGATTGATAGGCATTCTCAAATTGGCTTAATTGAAAGTTTATTGCTGTTGATCACAGTTGTAATAGTTAATAATTGTGTATAAACCCAACCCGCAGCTAGCGGCTGAATCTACCTAGGGGAGCCGTGTTAATTCGCCCAATTTGGATTGATTGGCACTATTACAAGCCCCGTAAAATAGCCCATCTACGATACATGGTTACGCAGTCAGTCCAATTTTTTCTCATTTAAGACATCTAGGCGCTGTTGAGGATATTATGGCGGAAGGTTTGACTATACTTATTGAATGAAATAAACCTCCGCATTATTAGGGTTCAAAAAATGAGCAGACAATTTCGGTACGAAACACATTGGTTTCACAACACCGAGTGTTAATCAGATTGTTGGATTAAGAGAGAGAGAGGGAGAGAGAGAGAGAGAGAGAGATAGAGAGAAAAAAAGAAAGAATACTAAAAAAAACTATGAAGAATATCATAAAATAATAGCGACTGAGTTAATGATTTAGTTACTTATCAAAACACCCGCCAATTTGCGTGCCAGGAAACAGCTTTTTACAGGGAAAAAAATTTTGCGCTCGGCTGCATTATGACTGAAAAAGCTAAATTGGTATTTTGCAAAAAGCACAAAATATTTCGACCCTAGGTTTGGGTTGTCAAAAATAACAAACAAGAAGCAATAATTTTCCATAATTTTTTCCGGAAAAAATCTTTATCTCGATTTCTTTTTCGAAACATTATAAGCTTAATACAAAAATCATAGCAGAAATAGTATGGAATAATTAAATTTTTTTTAGATATCGCAAAAATTGTTCAATATATGCTCAGTTATTTTTTCTATTATCGCGTTTTCTTATATCATCTCGCTTTGAGCTCAAAAATAATAAATGAAGCTTAATTTCAAAAATTTTTAATCCCACTTCCGACGAAAATGCGAAACATGCTTAGATTGATACTTTTATCTACTCAATTTTTGCCTTTGAACAAAGTCTTTTTGGCAGTTTATAGTGCAAAAAAACTGTTGTCTGGAGACCAATGTATATTAACTTTTTGTAAAGTAAGGGTGGTTTGTATATTGCTAATTTGGCCAATTGAGTATAATGTGTTCTTGAAACACGAATATGTGGCTGGTTAAAAAGTTCAAAGTTGAATTGAGACAGGACGTTTGCTTTTTTAAATTAGAATACGAGGCACTAAGTATATCCCTTTGGACTTTAAATAGCGTGCAGTCGTAATTTGCAGTCGTTTAAATATCGTAAAGTGAAGACCAAAAAATGAAGTACTAGAATTTTTTGCGGTTATTTTGTTAAATTTTTAGGTGGCCGTAAATTGTTGCCGGAAAACTCAAAGAAGCTTTGCCTTCATTTACTCGCAGTCTTGTTTCTTTTAAAGCTGTTCAATTTATTGAACTCTTTTGACCTTCACGTTCTAACTGTATTGCACGAATTCGTATCGTGATAAAAAAAAATGCAACCCAAAATTTCAAAATCAGCATTAAAAAGTTATCATTCTTAACACTCTGAAAAATTTTCTATAAAATACCCAAATGTGAAAACAAAGCGACAAAAAGCTTTGATTGCTCGTAGATTTTAAATGTTTCTAACAATCTTTACGCTTAGTTTTCTCAACACTAAATTAACAATCACGCAATATTCAAGGTCCCATTTGAACAATCTCTCTCAAACACACTAAGCAAATTATCTCCATTTTAAAACATTATTTGAACTCGTAGTTTTGTTTAGAAAAAACGAAATTGGCCACAGAAAAACAAACAGAATACCTTTTTTATAGAATTTTTTAGATAATTTTTTATCATTACTTTTTTTGCTAATCAATGCCAAAAACAATATTCATCTGAAAAAAATTAAAAACCTACTTTCTGCCTAACAAACCAGGCTCAATGACATATTAGATTCAGTTTTTAAAAAATCGAGAAAAACATGAATGAACATTTTTCTTCTTCGACAAGTTTTGAGCGAGCACCGCCAGCGATTACAGCAAAGAACCATGAAACAAAGTTCGTAATTGTGATAAACTTTCAAGCTTCAGTTAAAACTCCTCTGGCTCCAAAAACTTTAAAGTTATAAAATAAAGTGATAAAAACTTCAAAAAAATTAAACGCTTCTTTTCCTTGCATTTTTGATCAGTTTTGTGCTACAAAAAATTTTCCATTGTCGCTAAAGGGAATCGGAACAATCAATGCGTTGCACCAGTACGAACAAAAAGCTTGATTTGTTGATAAAAGATACCGAAAAGCAATCCAGTTAGGTCAGTAGAATCTTGGCCAAAATTTCTGAACTTAGGTCGATAGGCCAACTAGAGGTGGTCGGGTGCTCGTTGTGACTTTTAAAAAATTGTTTCGAATTGTTTTGTTGTCTTGAGTTCAAAATTAAAAAAGATTTTTCTTTTGGGATTAATTTGTGCGAATTTATTTGGGTTTTAAAATAGCTAACTTGGAAATTTTGGAACATTGCCAATATTTTGCGCATTTAATGCGTAAGCGGAGATTTAATCCGTCTTAGAAATCATTCCAATTTAGTTGATGAAGGCTAGTTGTCATAACTGCTACGTTACTAGGAGCCAAAAATTATCATTTCTTACTTCATACGGCGTGTGGAGAGATGATTCCTAAAAAATTTTGTTTCGAAATGTACGTTATTTTTTTTTAGAAAACAAACACTTCTAAAGACCTTAAACGGCAGTCAAAACAATCAAGGCTTCGCCCTGATACGAACAATTTTTTGCGAGCATATATAATCAACAACACTGCTTGTATCAGGTTAAAGCACTAAATGATACGACTGCATTTCACTTTCTATGGAGTAGTTTTGTTTCAAATAGTTGATAAAAATGAAAAAATTTCGAAATGATTTTCAAAAATCATCACCCCACACGCTATCTAAATTACAAGCTATATAAATCTTGCATATTGAAATGCAATAAACAGACCAAAGAGCATGCCTCAAACCGAAAATGATACAGGTGAAAATGATACAGGTGAATTTTGTTTTAATTCGAGCTCAAAACAGCAATAGGTTTTAAAAGATTTTAAGAAATTACGTCAAAAATTGTTAGTTAAAAAGTTGAAATTTGTCTGCAGAAAAACACCATCATCCCGAGCAGAATTATTTCGAAAATTTTTACAATTTGAATAACTTTTTCTGTTTTCGTTAACAGCTGGTATTCAGCTCTGACTGCTCTCCTCTGGTAGGGCGCGAAAAAGTTTACAACAAAAAACTGAAAAGAAAATCAATTTTTTTCGCATTTTTTCTCTAGAAATTTTATTTACCCAGACACGTCAACGGGCAGTCAGAACCTTCAAGGCTTTGACCTGATGTCAAAAAACTGATGCTAAATGTTTCGCTCCTCAAATTTCAAAGTAAAGTTTTTGCTAGAAGAATGATGTCGTCTTTTTCTATTTCTATCTGAAACAACAAATCTTGCAATATTCTTTAGCTTCTGTTTTTTTTTGTCGAAACACTGATCAGTATTAAGACCGCTTGAAAGTGACAATCAGTTTTTGAAGATTCTAACTTTGTAAGTTGCCAAATAATTTATCTATTTATTGCTATTTTTATTCAATTTAAAGGGTTTATTCAATTGGGCTATATTGTTTGTTTATGTTAGGGAAATAATTCCCATTCAAGATATAATCATTGCTGATAAGCGAGATAATCAAGCTAACTAAGCGAAAAAATTGGCTCCTACTCCAATTTTACTGGACAAAAAGAAATGCTCGTTTCTGATTGGTCAACACCTGGTATGGGAAAGGCTGATGAGCTGGGATAATATTTGATCAATATTTCAAATCTAAAAGTCATTATCAGTCAATTTGAATCCTAAACAAAATTTTCAAGTAGAAAAAACCTATTTCAGGAATTGATAACATAAAGATGAATTCAATCGGTGAGTTTAATGTAATTTGTTTTTAAATCTCCAAAAAACAACAATTTTTTGATATCTTTAAAGGTAAATCAACTAGCAACGTTTTCATATTTCAACCAAACCAGCAACTAAATCCTTGATAGTAAAAATTCATCTGATTTTTTAGTCGATAGAGAATTACTGACAAGGTGTAATATGGAAACTTTTTAGAAATTTGAAAAAACTTGATCCTTATTTGTTCAGGAATTTGTTCAGATGTTCCCAATCTTCACCATCCGATTTCCATTTCGACCTCAGCATCAGTAGAGCAACACATTCTGAACTCAGTCGCGAAAGCAGGACACCTTCCCCCTAACCACCCACTCGGCAACAACAACAACCCCAAGCAACTGCTCCCGCTCTCACTGACCCCGCAACAACACAACAGTCTCTCGGCAGCATCAGCAGCGTCGCCAGCGTCGAGTGAGGGCAGCGTTCCGACACCGTCCTGTTCTCCCGTCAAAAACAGTCCGCAAGGTCAGATTTTTTTGAATCAGATTCAACTATATTACTCTTATATTACACTTTTGATATAATTGTATATTTTTGATATAATTGTGTTTTTTTTTGCCTTCTTCTATTCAAATTTGAATTTAAAATATGTCAGAATACTTGTAGAAATTGTCGAACAATTTTAACTTTTCTCAAAATATTTGATATGTTCTTGAAATTTATTAACTCAAGATCTCTTAAATATACCCAGTTACTTATTCCTGTAAGCGCCTTAATAAAAGAAGTTTTTCTTAAGCGTCATTTGCAGGGGCGGATCTAGGAGTTTCTCGGGGGGTGGGGGCGGATTTTCAAAAAACTTTTTGTAGGTCGACCAAATTGATTTTTTGAGCTCTCTTAAGTTCCTATGAAGACCCCATATTAACCAAATTTTCTGCGCAGCAGGCAAAATTTTGAAAAAATTCGTTTTAAAACTTTTTTGGAAATTTTTAACCAAAAAATTGCGTTTTCTTCGGCGCGCTCTCCCCTCAAAATTAGTATATTTTGACGCCGAAGGCGCCATTACAAAAATTTTAGGGTGAGTAAGCCAAAAAAGGGTTATCTCAAAATAGTACAAAGAAGGACCCTTTGGGTCGGCATGGGGTCGAATCCCTGAGAGAAAAACAAGTCCCCCCCCCCCTAAATCCACCCTGGTCCTGTGGAACTATGGATTAATCTAATTAGTTGCTCAAACTTAAAGTTAATAATAAAAAAATGGGTTACAACGTGCCAATTTAGAATGTTTATAGATATAATCCGCAAATATAATTTTAATTATAATAGTATTATAGAAAAAACTAAACAAAAGTAAGAACTCGGAACAATAAAAACCTTTACACCCGTATTTCTTGAGTCTTTCCCGTTGAAGCCTTTGCCCGCACGCCGAGTACAGAAAAATTATACTTCCATATAATTTTACACTCCTACATTGCAATTTTACAATTATGGGAGGGGGCATAATTTGCAGGGGCAATGGGACAGACGCTATTTCTTTCATATTGATTTGAGAAACTTTTTTTCTACAAAGATTTAAGTTGCATCGCACTCGCGTGGTTCCAATATAATCAAAGACAGTTGATTTTTCTCGCTGGTTTTGTGTCAAAAACATCATCTAGTCCATAATTTCGGGTATCTGACTAACTTTCTGTGACAGTTATGAAGACTTTTTAACTTGAGAATTTTGAACAAAGATTGTACTAAAATTCGTGGTTGAATAACTCTGGAAACACCGTAAATTGTGGCATGATTTGGTTAATTATGTGGCAGGAAGCTCAATATTATTACAAATTCTCTTGTTTAGGGCAATCGCCGGTTAAACTTTCATCGAACAACTCGGGTGGGGGTGGAGGAGGGGGAGGGGGAGGAGGGGGAGGGGGAGGAGGGACTGTGGTGCCCAAGCCGAAGCGACATCGAACCCGATTCACGCCGGCTCAGCTGAACGAGTTGGAGAGGTGTTTCAACAAGACACACTACCCGGACATCTTCATGCGAGAGGAACTGGCTATGAGAATTGCACTGACTGAATCCAGAGTCCAGGTAATTATCTTTTCACACCGTGCATGTTGTTAACTTTGGCCGTTTCCAAGCCACGGGGGTGAAAAAAGTAAGAGAAGGGGAAGGGGAAGGGGGGGGGGGGTAATTTATCCAGACCTTACGTTTCTACTCCACTTATACTTTGAGCTATATCCCATTGCGACCCCTCCCCCATCCAAACTATAGTAAAAAAATATGGGGCCGCATTCTTGTACTATGGGGAGGGAGTGTTTACTACTGTGGGCTTCAACTTGTTGATTGATGGGAAGGGGGCTAGATTGGGAAAAAGTGAACACTTTTAAAGGCGAAATAGATATTTACCCATTCAAGAAACCTCCTTCGGCAAAAACCTACTGGAAATTTGTAAAAGCAAGCAAGGCTAGCCGGTTACTGTGCAAGTAGCACAGAATGTTCCGACCGTATTTTTTCAAAAATACAAAAAAGTTTTTTGCAAATTAATGTCGTTTTTTTTTCCGGCGTGGTGTGATAAAAGGAGCTGAACAAAAAACTGGGGATTAGGTATATTCGACAGCTATACTAAGAATAGCAAATTGAAAAATAAATTTTGTTGAAAAATTACTAAAAGAACGACAAAAAAAATTTTAAAAAATTTCGAAAATTTTTTCAAGTTTTTTGCAGTTTTTTGAATTTTTGATTCCAAAAAAATCGCTAAAATACTCAAAGTAAACAATCGTTACCCAAGTAAAACTAAGTTTATACGTTTTAAATTATGCTAATGTAAGCTTTTAAGAAATTAAAATAAGACTGCTTGCTCACTTTGTTCGCTCGAAATAAGACAAAAAACCAAAAATTTTAAAATGTGGTTCGAATCACGATTGTAATTGAATCACGATTATATGATATATCAAACCAAAGCAGAACAGAACATTAAGCAACTACAACAGACCCGAATACAAAGTTCCTCCCCGTTTTCAATGGTCGGAACGATGAAAACGGAAAAATTCAGACAGGCTGAGCAGCGTTTTGATAGTTCCTCTGCTATTCATAAGCGCTGACTAAAATTCACAATCATTTTATGATTTAGCTGTATTCTTTTGTATGCCACAATTTACAGATACTTTAGTTAGTTGTTCCGACCACATAAAGTGGGAAGGAGTTTTGTCTTCAGATGTGTTTTTTTTTTACCCAGAATGGGCCGAGTGAATAAAATATTAATACCATTTCAGTCCTGGATCGATCGGCATTTAAAAAAAATTGCTCAGTGTGGAGAAAAACCGGTTAAAAATATTCGTTTTTTTTAAGTTTAATTTCGAGCAACTTTTGGTTATTATTTAGGCTAGCATTATAACTAGCATTGTATATATGCATTGTAAATGTAAGACCGTCCAACCTTTGGTGTTTTGAGTAACCAAGGTCTTTGTGACTTGTGTTCGGTTGCAACTACAACCGACAGTTTTTCAGAAACTAAATTTAGAAAGAAAAAATCAAAATTTTTTGTTTATGGGAAAACATCTATCATACAATTTTCATATATGGAAAAATGCTTATCATAGAGTTTTCATACAATTTTCTGTACGTATGGAATTGTATGAAATTGTATGACAAGAAGTTTCTCATATATGGAAATTGTATGATAAGAAGTTTTGGTCAACCCGGGCTATTTACAAAAACACAAAAAAGCTTTTGATGAAGCCTTGACAACCAGTTTGTGGAGTTTAATTCAGCTCGTCTTTGGCAATAAACTGTTTTAAGCAGGTTACAGAAAATCAGCTGAGAATTAGTATTTTTTTGAATTTTGATTTGTTTTGTGAAAACAATACTGTCGAATTTGACTTATTCACTAAAGTTCTAAGCTTTCGCCTTTCCTCTCATGACACCAGGGATTTTTGAGTTAACGTAATCCCAGGGAAACTTACATGAAATCGAAGAAAGTTTGCTCAGATTGTGAAGCCAGACATTTTAACCTGTAGTCGATTAACTCACTTTAAAATGCAATTTTTCAAAGTACTTTAAGAGAAAGTCACTTTTCAGTCTATCGACTTGATCTTCCTTTCATAGCCAAAACTCAATCTATATAATAAATATAAGATATTCTATAACAAAACTAATTCAATGCACGAAATTGCCTACATTTCCGGTTTATCCTTTTGGGCGTCTTGTTTTCAGAAGTACCCATTTAACACCTTTTTATCAGTCAATTCAGAAAAATATTTCTTTTTGTTTCAAAATTTGAAGTTTTGTAATTTTCCGCCTATATTGAATGCTCACTTCTTGTGCAGTCTTTTTTTCACACTTTTTTTGTCTAAGTCACCTCTTGTTGATATATCTTTTTGTTTTCATTTTTCATTTTTTATTTTTTCAGCCTGGACAAAGGAAAACTGGCACGCCAGTTAGTCTGTCAGAGCAGGAAACAATTATTTGTTCATATCCCAAAATTACGCCTGATTATGATCAAATTTATCCAATATCCTGTTTATAAACTCCGCGACTTTATTGACTCTGGAATAGATATGAAAAATTAAAATCCGACCGGCGCTTTTTTGGACTATTTAGGACAAGTTTCAAAATGAAATTTGATTAATTATTATTGTATGTTGTGATACAAGATATTGAAATATAGAATTTGAAATATGGCGGATAGAATTATCCCGCATTTGTTGTTTCGGAGCGAATTTTTTTGGGGGACTTAAAAGTCATTAATCACCTGATCGTGGTCAATAACAAGAAAATATATGTTATCTCCAATTTGTAAATGTTGTTATTATCTCATAATTATCGGGTCACTTTTGCTCTAACTTGGGCTGATATTATCCCGCGAGGCATATTAGCCTGAAAGAGCACAGCTGAACCCAAAGGGAAGAAAGGAACCGTTTTCCTTTCCCACAAAACATAAATGCCATCGTAATCAAGCTAATAAAACAAATCACTAAATGATGACTTCTTGTTACTGGTAATAAAACCCACGGATGAAATCTGTAAGAAATTCAAAACTGGTTATCAAAATAAAGATCTTTCATATTTTAACAAGCCCCAAAAATATCCGATCTCTTTAACTATTTCCCCCTTTTGGCACCTAGTAACGAATCCCTTTTACAGTATTTACACCCTTTTTCAAAATATACATTTGAAGTATAAAAAGTGAAAGAAACTGTTCTCAAATAGTCAGTTGCTTAGTGAAAACCAAACAGTTGATTAGCAATCATCAATGATTTAATCTAAATTTTTCAGGACTCATTAAGTGCATATATAAAATTGGATATTTAGGTCGAATTGTGGTTCAAGCAAGAACCAATTGCAAATTATATAAATAACGTTAAGATGCTATGTAATGATTGTAACTGCTCTAATTTGGGAGAACATCAGCTGATATTTCGACCTGTCCTGGTGATATAGTTCTAGGAAGGGAAAGCGTTTTGCTTTTTCTTGCAAATATTTTGCCAGATTTGCATACATTAGGATGCTTCATGAACGTTTTTTTAAACTTCAATTTTCAATTTTTTGTTTTAGGTTTGGTTCCAAAACCGACGAGCCAAATGGAAGAAACGGAAGAAGTGTTCGCCGAACGTGTTCCGAGGAGGCGCCCTTCTCACTCCCGGCTCACACCCCATGGGCTTCGGACAGTTCGCGGCTTTCGGAGGTGACCCCTTCGTTTGCAGCTACAACCCTTTCGCCCCAGACCCCAGACAGTGGGGATCGGCAGGAGGCGCCGCCACGACCCCTAACAACTCCATGACTTCTTTCACGTTCCCGCCGACGTTCGGGAACCCGAGACATTCGGGAATCGGGACGGCTGGAAACTCAATCAACCAGGCGGCGTTCGGGTTTGGAATGGAAACTCAGCCGGGGAATCTAGGCCTTCAATCGGGACACTCACTGGCTCCAAATAGTCCGACTTCGGTGACGTTTCCGGTTTTAAATCAGCAGGCGCAGAGTTTCGCAAATGCGATGATGTGCGCGAATAATGCGAATGTAACAGCTAATGGGAATATAATCGATGGTCCAGGGTCTGGAATTCCACAACTGGGTTCCTCAATTCCGAGTCCGATTCCGGTCGGCGCTTCAAACGACCCTTCGGGTCTCATGGCTCTACGGCGAAAAGCACTGGAGCAAACTGCGTCCATGAATTCTTTCAGCGCTCTTTCAAATTGCGGTTTTGATTTAAGATGAACTGAAAAATTGATAGTAAGAAAACGAAAAAAACTCAGTGTCCAAATCAATTTTTAAATTTTTGATAAATTGTACATACATATATTCTTAATGTTTACATATTCTACAAGTCAACCCAATGTTTTATCATTGTTTTCTCATATAAATGTTCCAAACTATAATATAAAATTTTACTTTTCAAGAATTTTTATTTAAATTTAGAAAAAAGTTACATAAAAAATGCTTTTATGAAAAATGTTTGCAACAAAAATTGAAAAAAAAACCTTATCTGACGCTGAAGCCTTTGTTACTTTTTGCCACTTTTTTTAAGTCACTACTTTTTGGAGAATGATGCTTTTCTTAACCAAAAAATCAAAAAACCGTATATTTTGATGACATTGGAGTAATCTGGTATCAGCCTGATATTTTTTGGATGAGAATGCTTTTTATACACCTTTCAGTTGCTCTTAAAAAGTTCAGTTCCCAAGTGAGGCACCTATGTGTTTTTGCAATTTTGACCACCCACAGGCCGAAAGGGATTGAAAAATTTTTGATAATGGTTTGTTGTTATGGCGGACAACAAAACTATCTTCATCAATTTTCTGTCAATATGAGATAAATTTGGAAACAAAGTGTGCTCAAAGGAACAAAAAAAAAGTGTTTTTAACGGTTTACCACAAAAACACGTTAAATCACAAACAAAATAACAAAATGTTTTTAAAATATATATCAAATTAGTGCCGCTTACAACCGTGATTTGAAAAACTTCGAAACAATTCTGCCGGTGACGAAAAATGATATCTAAAATATTGGTTTTTAAACGGCATATTTTGTCGGTACAGTTGTTTTGTCGCAGATTCCGCAAGAAGTGAAAATAGCGGGTTGTTTTGGATTCCAAAAATTAAAACGGATTCCGCAAAATGTAAGCGGATTACGCAAATCGTATATCGTAGGTTTGTTTGTTATATTGAACTGAACCAGTCCCTGCTTAAGCAACTAAGAGCTATAGATAAAAATTTGATCTAGAAAATACGGAATTTAAAAGCAAGATTTTAATTTTTGTCAGTGGAATCCAATAACAAATCTTAAATCTCTGCTTAATTTAAATTGTGAACTTATTCCCTTAGCGTTTGGAATAAATGACATTTATTTTGAAATCAACTTTATAACTCATGAAATACTTTACCTCAGGTTGTTTTCAATTCTTAGTATTTCTTAGTATTTGAGATCGGAAAATTATTCTTTCTTTCATTATTTGAGATCGTAAAAATGATCATGTTTTCAGTATTTGAAATCGGAAAGGTGTTCTTTCTTACAGTACTTGAGGTTTAGCTGGTGAGTTCAAACTGTTGGCAGTAAATGAGATTGTACTTTTGGACAGTTTTACTGATAACCCACAAAAAGATTACAATTAAAAATGTAAGTTCAAGGCATAATTAAATATGCTACTGGAATCAGCTTCCAATTCGCAGTTTTCGCTTGCTATTTGCGGTTTCTGCTTATAGTTGCGAGTTCCGTAACATCTCAATTTTACTATTATGTTTATTATTTGTACGTGAACTCCCTAAAATGTTCCTGGTCTCGCTACTACTGTTGCAGATTTTGCAAATTCGATTAATTTGGCGCGGTTTTGAGCGGTACAGTGTTTTAGCCATTTGTTTGTGGAATCCAAAACAGAAAAAAGATTTTTAAAATGTAGCAATGTTTTCGGATGTTGCGACAAAATAAGATGACTGATTTTGACCTTTTGCGGAATCCGTTGATGTTTCACGAACTGCACAGTTTGGCCGTGTAATGACAATTGTAATTGATGATAACCAATTTTTTCAATCGTAATGACAATCTAATTTTTTTCGTTATGCAGAAAAATTGATGTGATACTCTGTGTTCAGATGGACCAAAACGTGACGAGACATCTCATTTTCGAAGATTTTTTTAATAGATAATGAAATAATAGCCCACAGGATATATTTAAAATAAACTTTTGGTTCAACAACATGTTGGCAAAAAAATTGTAACCGGTTTTAATCTGTTTATAAAAAATCTGCGTCAACTATAATCAATTGTAATGTATTTTAAAAGATTTGGTTTTTTGGAAAAAATCACCTTTATAATCAATTAGAACTTTTTTAAACGCTTCAATTTTGTAATTATACTCGAATATAATGGTCAAAAAATCAATATAATAATCCTTTAAAATCAATTACTTAAGAATTAACTTGGATGCCGGATGGCTATTCTTTTAATTACTCCAGTGAACCAGTACATTAATGTTACGCGTTAGTTCAACTGCTTAAAACAATTCTTGATGTGTATGTCAGCACTTTTCATTGCCCTCTGATAGTCTATATTATGTGCTTATATTAAATCAACTACTGACATAGACTATCGGTGTCCTCTTCTGAACCCAAAGATTTAAATATGCCTCTTTTTAATCAGTATTTTTAACCTCCAAAAAATGACCCAAACCCTAGGGGGCGGCGATCTTGATGTGTGTTTTTTTAAAAAAAGATAGGCTTCGCAGAAAACGAAAAAAAAGTGGAACAAAAATTGAAAAGTTGTTGAAAAAAGATTTTTCAACATCAATAAAAAATTAAAGTTAAGGGTCGATATAAAAATTCTGTAAAATCAGTAAAGATGAATTCTTTGCTTTTGTTGCCGAGAACTCAATTCAAACTTAGATCTCATGGTATGTTATTATCAGCGCAAACGCATGCCGAGCAAAATAGTGATTCTCGAAACTACTCGATGATAATTTTTTCTTTCTTAAGAAAAAAAATATGACAAATTAGTGAAGAGTTGAAATTTTAATGCAGATTTTTCCAACCACATCTGTTCTGGTGGTAAAATGTTTAGCCTCTGTGCCTGAAAAATTTAGCTACCAACCTGCAAAGCTAAAATGAATTGTTTTCTAGTGAGTTAAAGTCAAAGAGATGAAGGACTCAAAGTTGCAAACCAATGTTGATTTTTAAAAAAGTCTTTTTATTGACGAATGTTTCTGAAGTTTTCCATCTTCTGGTTTCTTGAGCAGATTGCAGTATTTGTACTCAGTGTACTTATTTCGTAAAAAAATCTTCAAAAACTCAATTCTTAAAATTATTTGCTTTTTTTCCCTACTTATGTTCTTTAGTTTAGAAACGAAGACGCTTTTGTTTATATATGACTTTTTTATGCAGCAAAAATGTAACAATTACTTGGGAAAATTGACCGCAATATCGTCTTAAGTTTTTTATTGAAAGTTTATTTTTAACTTAAAAATATGATGTTGTTGTTTCAAAAATGTAAAACTAATTATTTCATCTGACACAGTAAAATTTATGATGAAAATGAAAAACACTTTCACAACCTCAAAAAACTAACAAGACAAGAGAAAGAATGCAAAAAATGTAGACAGTTCATTCAACACCTCCACATTAAACTTCCGAGTAATTCTTGAAAAATATAAGATATTATTTGACAAAAATACTACGCTGCAGCTAACATTTCGAATTCACGCGCGAGAAAAGCATATAGGGTGTGTTCTCAATTCAAGTTGAATATAATTTGAATGGAACTCATCCAATGTCAGCTATGAACAATTTATTGTTGATTGGCCAAAGTTTGTGAAACATTTAAGTAAAAACTTTGCGGAAAAAAACACAAAAAAAAATGATACGTTTGATGCTAAAACGGAGGAAAAGCAAAAAACAAAACGGGTGAAAAACACTTTGTTTTCAAAATTTAAAATTTTTGTTGTATATTTTAGACAATTTTTTATAGATTAGGCCGGCCGCTTCTATCATAAAGCAACGACCGAAATTCGATAGTTTCGGATTTGTGGATCGATTAAGAGATACGTCCGAGAAAAACCCGACCCAGTAAAAGCTAGAGGCGACCAGTCCAGCCGAGAAAAATATCTGCAACTATTACAGACGAAAAATTAGGTGCCTTTGTTTCTAATTTGTGTTGAATTTTCAGTCGCATTTGGATATAAAACGAACCAACAGCTTGCCTCAGTGGAACCAGATATAAACTAAATTTATTATTGGTTATAAATTGGATATTTTATCTCTATAAAATATTTAATATTAACCAATCACGATCCATCTAACTAACAACCCACTTATTTGTAAGTGCTGAAATTACTGATAATTTCAGCACCAGAGAGATTTGAATTTAACTTAGAAATTACATACCTCTCCTAGAGACCTTTAGCAATCGCAATAAGCCAGTATACTCTAGATCTATTGAGCCTAGCAGAGACTAGTTAAACACCTTGAGACTAGTAGATATAAGAGTAAGATTAGGATCGGTATTAGACTAAGAAGTTGCACGAATCTATCCGGCCGAAAATAAGATAGCGTGACGAGCAGACGGTGTACCCTATCCGAAATTACTCTATGAGTTACACCTCGAACCTAACTCATCTGGTGCGACCATAAGTCTCGAACAAGACCTTAGCTTAGAACTAATTAGCTTAGAACTAACAGATAGATTAGAATTAGACAAAAACAATTTCAAAAATGTTACATGATAATAATTTAATTGAAATGTCTCTACGACTCAATAGATCAGAACCGCTATTCCGTACGATACGAAAACTACCAGGCATTGGAAGAAGGCCTCGGACAAGAGACGATCTACGACTACAAAGAAACTTACCATTAAGTTTCATGGTCGTACGGCCAAAGCCAGAACAAACTTTTATATTTAGAATTTTACTAGCAAGGAATTTAGATTTTCATTTGCAAACATAGAAACCTCGAAGAAAACCTTCAATGATTATTTCAGGCGCTAAATTTCATTTACTATTGTACAAAAATGATTTATGATAACACCTCAAATCGTTTCCTCTAAAACTGCAGTAAATTTCAAAAAGATATCTGAAAAATGTATTTATTGAAAATAAAAAATAAAAATTAGTTAACATGATCATAAATTGTTAGTATATATAAATCATCCTGGCATCCCCAGCTTCATCACCTAAACATAACAGCAATCATTAAACCACTAATATCATAAAACACTAGACTTTTCTATCAATTAAATCTGATTTATCTTTAACGACTTATCCAGATTTTTACATCTATTTGATTTCAACTTGTTCAATCTTAAATTAGATCATCAAGGCTTTCCTTGGATCTCCATTAAATATTTAAATTAAATCCATTTTATAACATAAAACTTATATC